GTCCAGGGAAGTCCAAGGCGAAAGCCGCAAGCCGAAGAGCTGCGGGTGCTGCACAGAGAAGCTTAAGATCGCTGAAAGCGAAAACCTGAGCAGGGCTGCAAGCGCTTCCAGCTTACCTGAGAGTGCACGGCTTTGTGCTGCTCCAGGCTCACCGCGTGCCCGAAGGTCTTGCCGCATATCTCGCATGCAAAGGGTCTGGTGCCACTGTGAGACCTGCGCACGTGCACCTCGAGCCCGTGCGGCGTGGAGAATACCTAAGGCGGGTGGGGCCGGGGAGAAGGCGGCTGAGAATGGCCGATGGGTGCGGACGCTGGCTGGGCGTGTGCCAGGGACACGGGTGCAGGGCTGGCCAAGCCCGGGACGCGGAAGCCTCACCTTGCTGCACTTGATGCACTTGTAGGAGCCGCCGCCCAGCAGCAAGCGAGTGCACAGCAGATCAGACTCCACCTTGACTCCGGAGCCCTTGTCCGCGTGCCGTCCGTGGCTGCGCTCGGAGTACAGCCCACCCGCTGCAGCCACTGGCCGATCGTAGAGCCCGGCCGCCCCTGGCCCGAAGTCGCCGTAGAGCCCCAGGCCCGCACCGCCTCCTGCGCTGCCTCCCCCTGGGGCCCCTGACCCGGCGCCGCCCGCCCGCTCCGGGCGGTACAGCACCGCAGGGTGGCCTGGCTCCTGGGTGCGCTCGCAGAAGAGGCTCAGGCTGGCGCCGCGCTCCAGTGCCGCGCACGGCCTGTAGCTCTGCACCAGGTGCCGCAGGTCAGACCCCGCCAGGCCGCTCCACGAGTACTGCTTAAAGGGCAGGGAGAAGGGCTGAGCTTCGTCCAGCGACGGGCACATTGACTTCTCTGAGGCTGCGGAGACACAAGAAGGTGTCTGGTCAGGCTTAAGACTGCAAGTCAGGTGCCACCCGGCTGCGTCTGCCAGTCGGGTGTTTGGGGCTGCCAGGCACCCAGCACTGTGGAGCACTCCGTGTGCCAGGTGCCGCACTAGGTGCCTGGATAAAACGCGAGCCTTGTCCCTGAGGCCTCGAGGGCCACTGGAGGCCGCAAGCAGCAAACATAATTAAAATGACATCCATCCCGAGCAGAGATCGGTAAATTCTGTGCCAGGGCAAGGGAAGCGCAGGTCGTTAAGAGGGTCTTTTCTGGTGGTGCCATAGAGAAAGGCGCGCCACAGTCTGTGGTTAATAAATGCACTGAGCTGAGCTGTGACGGAGGAGAAGGTGGCCACGGTTCGAGACCTGGACAGCAATCGTGGGCAGGGGACCCACAGCAGGCGCTCTGCGGCCCAAATGTGTTCCCACTCCGCTCCTTTTCTTTCCCAAGATCGAAAAGGAGCGAAGGAGAGGACCAATAAAATGCGGCCCAGCCCACCAGAGCCCACCTGAAATAAAGGAGGGAGGGGAAGGCGTTAACATTACTAAAAGTTATTAAGTGTTCATCTCCCCGCCACTCCTCCCACCCCCTGCCCCATGCCAGTAGCAAAGGGACAGCGGGAAGGGGGTCTGGGGCTTCAACTGCCTGCCAAATATTCCCCATTCCCATCATAGCTTGACAAGAAAAAAACAAAAAACAAAAAAAAAACACCCGAATTTCTTAGAGAATAATTCACAATTAAGGTTTAGCCACCAACAGTAAGGGGAATAGCTTTCCGAATTCAGGGCCTTCTGCACCTCCACCCCACGTGATTTTTGCTAGAACCAGATGACCAACATATACTTTCTCTAAATGCATACGGGTTTACAAATCCGTTCACACACATCGCAGCCTCCAGTCCAGACTAGCCACTTCGCAAAGAGGCTGCACCCTGAGTTTCCGTCCGAGAGAGATGCGGGCGGCGCCGAGTCCTTTCGGGGTGGTGTCCCGCACAGCCAAGAACCCTCCGGTCACCAGCTCCCAGACACATTCGCTGGAGTTACGCTTTAGCCAAGCCAACGCACTGAGTGCAGGATGAGGTTGGGGGTGTCTTTCAAAACTAGTAAATGTCATCTGGGAACAACTGGCCCTTGGCAGATCTGGCTGGTCTGCACTCTCCTTTCCCCGGCCCAACCCCGAGACTCAATCCCCACACAACGTGAAAAATCACTCAGTTTTCGCGAAACTCGACTACTGGCTGGAAATGAAACCAGACAGCTGGTCCCCCAAATTGAGCCAACCAGGCAGAACGAAAAATGAAATGGGCCCCCAATCCACGCCCGCGAAGAGCCAGAGGAGCGGGGCTGAGATTTTCGTCCCGGACGGGTCCCACTGGCTGGGCGCCCCATGCTCTGCCAGGTCCCACGCCGCGGGAGCGAGCGTAATTTTTAAAGGCAATGACCGGTTTCTTTCAGAGTGGCCAGGTTTCCGTTTGTTTGAGACTCGGGGCTCTGGATTCTTTGTTAACAGCTCTGGGCAGAAAACGAAATATCGACGTTGCTTCGGGTTGAAATCACTCATTTATTTTCTCCTACGCATCGGCTCCGCGCAAACGAATTAGTTCGGGATGAACAGCCTGGGTCCCGCTGCCTCGGATTCAAGCAGCAAACCCCGAAAACAGGCTGTTACAGTCCCAGAGAAGCCAAATGCCTCTCCACCGGGCCCCTTACCCCCATGAAAACGCTCCCCCCTCTCTGAAAATTTCTCCACCATTCATTTAGTACATCTGCGCCCAAAGCCGCGCGGGTTCATTCCTCGCCGAGGGGTCCTTGGCGCTTGGGCCCTAGAGCTTCAACGAGTTCCTACCTGGAGACACAGAGGGCGACGGAGGCCTCCAGAAGTCCTCAAATTCCGAGCTCCGATCGCAGACGCTGCCCTCGCAGCTGCCAGGGGACGCGGAGGCTCTGTCGCGGGCCTCCGTCAGCTGCAACTCGGGGGACAAACGGCCCCTGGGCTCCGCCTTCGCCCCGCCTGCGTTCGAGGTGCTGTCTGCGGAGAGGAGGCAGGATAGGGGCTCAGGCTGGGCCTGGTTGGGCCCAATGGTTCTAAAGTGGCGCCCCCCAGACCATGGCACCCAGTGTTCTCATCTCTCCCCAGACCTTCCCGGATCCGAGGGCGAGAGCATAGAGGCCTTGGCACCTTGGCGACAAGCCCGGAAGAAACCAGACGGTAGGAAACAAAACAGGCAGCAAAGGGGGCGTCGGGCCTCTCTTCCCGGTTCCTGGGGAATGGCGTGGCAGGGCGCAGAGTCTACGTTCCCGGGAGCAGCCCCGCCCGGCCCGCGCGCGCCCCGCACCTGCTCCGCCTGGCGCCAGCACATTCTCCAGGCGGAGAGAATAGTCGGGTCCCGGGGAGCGCGGCTGGTGGTAACTGTGAGCCTTCTTGCTCTTGACAAGGAACGAACGCGGCATGATGGTCGGGCGCGCTCCCCACTCTGCTCCAAGGGTCCCTGGAGCCGCTGTCACCCCACCGTTACCCCGAGTTCTTGCTCAGCCCCAGCCAGGCAGAGACCTGCGAGAGGAGAACCGGGTGGAAACGCGAGTCAGCACGCTCCGAGCCCGGGACTGGATAGTCGGGCGGAGATAGAGCTCTGGCCGGGGAGGAGCGAGAAAGGCCCGCGGGAGGAGGGGCCTGGCCCCGCTGCGCCACGCTCACCAGGTGGCACTCGGACAGGTGGTGCGAGCCCGCCGCTGCCGCCGCCACAGCTCAGCGGCAATCGTGGTCTGGAGGCCGGGGCTCAGGCCTCTTCCTTCTGCTCTGCCCACTCCCCTCGGCTCCTCCCCTTCCCCAGCAAAACTCGCTCCCGCAATCAAACTCTTCGAAGAGCCGGAGCCCCCAACGCTCCAGTTACTCCAATTCGACCATTCACTGCATGCCTGGCTTTGCTTTCGGGCTGGGAAAGAGGTCGGGGACCCATGGATACATTTAGGGCCAGGGGATGTATCAGTGGTCCGGGACCTGAAATAGGCAAGGAGCCAAGCCCTCCGAGAACTGGCTACAGACTGGAGTGAAAAGAAGGCAGAGGCGGGGCGCACTAGACAGGCTGAGGGGTGGGGTCCGGTGGACAACACCAGAGAGACTGAGGGCAGCGAAGGCTGGAGAAAGAAAGCCAGAAAGCAGGACAAGAGGTGAGGCGGCGGGGCGGGAGAGAGTGGCAGAAGACCGACCCCAGCCCAGGCAGGAACTCGCATCCCCATGATCTTGTTCCGCCCACGGTCATGCCCCATGCGGGGGAAAAAGTTGGCCCGGAGACGCAGGTGCGGTGGGAGCAGGCAGGATCCAGGACGAGACACCCCAGGCCATGGAGACCTAATTTCGGAAACCAAGTCCCAGGCAAAAACACTTTCCTTTTTGCTCACCAACAACCTTGTCTTGGGGAAGTCGAGCCCGATCTGCGCGCGCTGGCGGGGAAACGCGCGGCGTTCCGGAGAACCCACAGTTTAGCGGACGCAGGAGAACGCACGCTGCTCTGGCAGCAGCCAGAGAGCCGGGGTCCCGGCGCGGGGTTGGGAGAGAGCTAGCTACCCGCTACGTCGCTCTCATTAACCCCCAATCAGTTCACCTAATCCCAGGGTCGAAACCTGAGCCCGGCGGGGAGGCGGGGCAGTGCCTCCTGCTCTGCTCGTCTCTCAGGGGGCGGGACCAGGAGGGTGAGGAGGTCTAGGGAAAACAGCCTTCTTCCCGGGGTGACGACGATGGGGCCCGGGTTCACTTGCGAGCTGCAGGCTCTTCGGGCATCAGCTCTACGAGGTCTTGGCTAGTTCAGAAACAAGGGCGCTGGGGACCCTGGACCAGGGCAGGACCCCTTGTCCTTGGGCTTCGCGCGACGTAGACTACCAGATTAGGAGTCGCGCGGCTCTTAAGGCAGGATGCAGGACAGTCTACATCTGCCGGTTGGCGCTCCGGGCTCAAAACGAGTTCCAGCGGACTCGTTCTCTGAAGGGCATTCCACGCCCCACTGTGTCTCCTTCTCCTGGGGAGTAGGGACAAGCTTGGGAGAAAAGACGGCTGGGACATGTAGCGGAGCCCAGAGCTACGTCTCCCGGTCCTAAGTGCCAGAAGGCCCCTAGGGGTGAGGGTGCCTCAGATCGGGACTTCAAGAGGCTTCAGGGTGTTTGGGCTGCCCTAGGGCTTAGTCCTGCCGCTTCAGTTTTCCTTGCGGCGCGGCATGAGCCACCCCTTCGGCCGTATAATTCGACACTACGAACGCAAAAATCAATTCCTTAAACAACCCTAAAACTCAGAGGAAAAGGAAAACGGGTGGAAAGGTCCCGGGGGCCCTGCTGAGCCTTGAGTACGAGTTGGCGCGGAGCTGGACCAGAGTGGGGGGGCGCATAAGGGGGAAACTGTCCGCGCCCGCGCTGAGTCTGGACTGGCTAGGACAGCGCGGGATCGAGCGGGCGCGGTGGCACCTTCCCGACTCGGGCAACAGCCCCGGGCCACTCTCCCATCCTGGCTGGCTCTGTGGGTTCCTGGGAGGGTGGAGTGGGTAGCAGGGTGGTAGGGCAGAGGGCTGAGCGCGTGGGAAGGCGACCTCGAGTAGCAGCTGGCGGCCGGGGGGCGGGGCGGCCTTCTCCGCGCACGCGGGCCCGCAGGGCCTCTGTTCATGGTCAGGGCCTGGGAAGGCGGGAGCTGGAGGCGCTGAGGGAGCTGACTCTTGAGCCCAGCTGCCGCCGCCTCCCCACCAGATGTTTCCTTCCCGAGTGGGTCCCGCTCTCTTGCAGAACTACCAAATGGCCTGGCGCGCGTCCCCTGCGTCAGATCCCAGCCCCACCGTGCGGGTCGCGCCAGGACCCAGCGGATACAGTTCTTCGTGCTCCCGCACAGAGACCCGCCGCGGGTAGGAACCCAGCAGCGCCCTCTGGTCGCCCCCGCAGTGCCAGTGCCCAGCTAGTTTCCGCCGCCCCCGCCAGGAGGGAGGCGCAGAACAGGAGCAGCGGACCTACCTGCGGGGTCAGGGCGCGGACACTGCGCTCTGAGAGTTTCCAAACTGAGTTGCTTTCGGGACAGACCGCTCTCTCTGTCTCCTTCTCTCTCTCTCTTTTTTAATCTCCTTCCGAGCTCAGCCCCCAAAACCACAAGCTTCACTTCCTGAGCGTTAAGGAGTAGCTCGCTTAGCCCGCTCAGACATGCTCCCCACCCCCCTCCCCTAGTCCGGAGGCTGGGCGCGTTCCTCTGTGCAAGGGGCTAGGAGGCAGATAGGGGGCCCAGCCTTTCCAGCCATCTTCCACGACGGTCCCAACCCGGTTTTTCTCTGTAGAAAGGCGTGGGGCGGGAAGGGGGAGACCTGAAGGGCCCAGACACTAGAAATGACTCGAAAGAAAATGAACTGTTCTTGACTCTTGTGAGACTTACACAGCGAGAAGTCACAGATTCAGGACACAGATTGACTGGAGCGCCGGGAGTGAGAGCGCCCTGCTCCGAGGAGGCCTCCCCGCCCATCTGGTCCGGGACAATCCCCCCAGCCCCCGACCTCGCCTCCTGCTTGGGTTGCGCCGCCCCCGGGTCGGGACCGTGAATCACCCGCCCGCGGTGCCGCCGGCCTGGAGCCCGGCGAGTGGCCGCGGCGTCCGCAGAGAGAAACCTGCACCGCCGCCCCGAAATAGCTTGTTGTGGAAACACTTCGGGATAAATACGCCCAACGATGCTGAAAATACCTTGACACCCAATCCGAGAGGTTTGCTCATTTCCCTTCGGATTTAGGTAATGGTTAAATTTGGAAGAGGTGGGCGAGCGCCGAGCCCCCGGCGGAGAGGGCGCTGGTGGCGCGTCCCGCGGGCGCCCGGCTGGGCTGGAGGGAGCATCCTCCCCACGCCGTGCTCTCCCGCGCGGTGCCGGCCTCGCTCTGCTGGCGGCTAATTTCCGGTGGTCGGAGCTGCGAAATTAAAGTCCACGCGGGAGGGAGCGCGCGGGGGCAGCGGCGGCGGCTGCTCGGCTGACCCCGCCCTGCCCAGGCCCGCCAAGGAGAGCTGAATCTCAGGGGCGGGCTCCGCCACCCACTGAGGTCATACATAGGCACCTGGTCCAGAGGGGAGCAGTAAAGCGCCATGAAAGCACTACCCCGATGATTCTTAAAAAGTAAATCTTCGCCGGGATTGTGTGTTATATGAGGGTGGGCAACTGGATCTACGGCACTATGTCCCTGGTAGTCTCTTAACAAATGTCTGTGGACTCAGTAAATGAATGGCATTAATTAATTAATTCTGTTAATAGAACAGAAAAAATTAAAATCTCACCCCTAAGTAAACAATGCAGCAATCTCTAACGCTAGCCTGTATGTCATGATCCATAGTGTGGCCTGTTGTGTATACTTAAAGTCCAAGCCTTTTCCTGACAAGGGTGGATATCGTTGTAATTGCATTGCTTTCCTAAATGAATGGACTTAGATTTTGATCACTAATGCATGCACAATAAGTCTCCAGTGTCAGATACCGGGAGAAGAGAGTGGTGCTCTTATTTCTTGCCAATATAATACCATATATTAGAGTAATCCAAAGTTCTCTAGGAAAAAGAGTCCCTTAGAGCTCTTTTCCTAGAGAATTTTTTAATAATTTTAAATTTGTACTGTAAATCTAAATAATTGTGGAAAATATTTGGTTACCGTGGCAGCGCTTCAAGCATGCTTTAATAAATTAATTATGTTTTATACAGCAATGGCTGCACACCTACTGTGTGCCAGGTGCTGGACTAGGCATACATCTTGTGTGCCTACTTGCCGTCTTTACACTAATACTTGCTCAACTAGTCTTAATCAGAAAGATTACAAATATTGAATTAGCTGAAGGGAAATTAAGGGCATTTTGTTAAGTTTTTATTTCTTGGGTGCTTTGTCCTGGCCCAAGATATAAAAATCTTAAAACAGTCCAAAACAAATATTTCCCTTATTCCTTCTATCCTATGCAAAGCAGAAAAAGACAAAAATTTAAAAGAAAATGATAAATGAGTCAAAAGAAAATTTATTATCAATCAAATTCTAGGGAAATGGCTAAACCATTTTCTTTGCACATTAGCAAGTTCACAGTCAAAATTTCTTGAAAAGGGGATGTGACTATTCAGCAGTTTAATTGAGTGTTGCTTTTTGAAGTCTCAGAAAACATGGGGAGGCTATGAAGGGGACAAATAAATCACCTTGCATATCACCTTAGAATAAATCTATTTCATTCAGAATAAATCTATTTCATTCAGATTAAATCTAGTCATCTTGCTTTGTTTGCTCTTCACAAGCTTTTGAGTTTGCAAAATAAAACTGGGGACTGGGACAGGAACACCAGAGAGAAGCAGGTGGGAGGGAGATGGCACCGAATCCCCCTTTTCCTGTTTTGAACCATGTGGCTGTATTACCGATTCAAACAAATAAATACATATTAAAAATATTTAACTAGCAAGAGCAGGTCATTTCCCAGGTGTATGGTGTTGAAATGTGATTCCCATTTAGCGGGAGCAGGGGGAAAAAAGTAAGAAGAGGGGCACCTGAAGGTTAAGAAACTTGCCAAACAGCAGCCAAGAGCCAG